TTGACAGAGAGAGACACAGCGAGAGAGGGAACACAAGCAGGGGGAGTGGGAGAGGGAGAAGCAGGCTTCCTGCAGAGCAGGGAGCCCGATGCGGGACTTGATCCCAGGACCCTGGGATCATCACCTGAGCTGAAGGCAGTCGCTTAACCAACTGAGCCACCCAGGCGCCCTAGTCTTCCTCTTAATTGATCTCTTGGCAGCATTTGGCACCGTCACCATCCTTCCTTCTGAAATTTTTTCTCCCCACGACTGAGTTTCTCTTCCTCTGCCTCTTGCTGATTTCCTTCTCCTTTGCAGGGCTTTCGTCACCTGCCCCTTTGGTGGCCCTGGGAGTTCCATCATGGACCTCTTCTCACTCCACACATTCTGCCTTGCTGGTTGCGCCCTCTCCCAAGGCCTGAAGAACTCTATATTAAACGATGACCAGATCTCTGCAGCCCAGATTTCTCTCTGAGGCTTAGACTCATGTGCCCCCACCCCTGCTCCTTCTCTCATTTTGGAGTGTGTGCACATGCTATTCACTCTGCTTGGAATGTTCCCTCCCTGGCCACCTCAGCTCATCTGTCTGAGCCCTCCATGCTGCTGCTGCAGCAAGGATCTTTCTCTGTAAGCCCTCACTGTTGGAGCAAGCTCCGGGTTCCAGTTAGATGCCTCTCCCATATGCCCCCCCACCCTTCTTAACCCTTGTCACACCACAGTACGGTCTGCTTCTCTGCCTCTCTCTCCCAGGAAGCTGTAAACTCCTTGAGGTCAGAGACTGTCTGCCCCCTCATGCCCAGTCTCTACTGTAGTGTCTGATGGTATCTGGCATATATTAGGTCTTTAATAAATCTTAGATGAGTAAATAAAAGAAGGAATGACTAATAGTGTTTATTGTTGCCGAGAAGTCAACTAAGAGAAGTACTAAAGAATACTGGCATTGGGCACCAGGAGGTCGTCTAACGCCACATGATTCATGTCAGCCGAGGGCAATCGTAGAGAAATGGAATGGAACACGTGGGAGGTGAAAGAATAGGAACAGCCAGAGCCTTGAAAAGGGTCACTGTGAGGTGGGAAATGGGGAGTGGTTTAGTGGAATAGGGTGAGGTTTTGTGTTTCCGATATTTCTAAATGGGGGACAGTAACCTGAACACATCTGAAGTTTCCTGGGCAGGGGCTGTCAAGAGGGAGCGTTGGAGAAACAGTGGAGATGGGGGTACTGGTATCAAGAGGTTCCAGAGAAAGCAGAAGGACACGGGCATTGACCCGGAGCACAGCGAGACAGCGAGAGGATTGCCGAGTGTTCTCAGGAAGAGAAGTGGAGGGCCTTCCAGGTGGAAGGATCAACAGGAAGGGGTGGAGAGGAGGAAGGACTGGTGTACTTAAGGACTGACCCTTAGATGGTAGGGTGAAGGCGCTGGCCCAGTACTTCAGTCTGTGCAGGGCCTTAAATGCCCCATTCACAAGTGTGCGCCCAGTCCCAGAGGCAGTGGGGGAGCCCATCCTTGCTGTTTCCCATCTTACAGACCGTCACCTTGGCCAGCATTCCCCAGATCGGGATCACCAGCAATGTCCCAGGACGGGAGCATTTCCATGGCTCCCGGGCCTCTGGGAGATGCTCAGACAGGGCCTGGTTTGACTCCCCGCATGGCCACTTTCCTGCTCGGAACTGAGGACAATGATAAGTGATGGCTCCCCTCCTTCTCCCAGAGCCCAGATGCCCGTCCAGCCTCCAAGCAAAGACACAGAAGAGATGGAAGCAGAGGGCGATTCGGCTGCCGAGATGAATGGGGAGGAGGAAGAGAGTGAGGAGGAGCGGAGCGGCAGCCAGACTGAGTCAGAGGAGGAGAGCTCAGGTGAGCCCCCCACATGGCGCACGCGGGTGCCCGGCCGCTCCTCCTCAGCCAGCGCTGACTGGCCTCTTGTCCCAGAGATGGACGATGAGGACTACGAGCGGCGTCGCAGTGAGTGCGTCAACGAGATGCTGGACCTGGAGAAGCAGTTCTCGGAGCTAAAGGAGAAGTGAGCGTGGGGCGTCTAGGGCTGGGTCTCCCGGCACCCAGGGTGAGGAGGCAGCCGGCCTGGTGCGGGGCAGGGGTGGTCAAGGGTTGGGGAGCACCGGGCGCTCGGCCACGTGTTTGATAGACACACACGCCTTTTCCCTCCCAGGTTGTTCAGGGAACGGCTGAGTCAGCTGAGGGTGCGGCTGGAGGAAGTGGGGGCTGAGAGAGCACCTGAGTACACAGAGCCTCTGGGGGGGCTGCAGCGGAGCCTCAAGATCCGCATTCAGGTGGCAGGTCTGTGGGCTGTCCTGTGCTCTAGGGCAGCCCCCAGGCCACCTACCTCTTCCTCTGCCAGAGCCCCTGGCTCTCCGCTCCCTGCTTTTCTCATCCCTGCCCTGACCGGCCCTGCTCCTGGCTCCCCCTTTTGGACACCTGGGTCCCTGGCCAAGCAGGGCTTCCCATCTCCCTCCCCTCCCAATCACTGTAGGGATCTACAAGGGCTTCTGTCTGGACGTGATCCGGAACAAGTACGAGTGTGAGCTGCAGGGAGCCAAACAGCACCTGGAGGTGAATGTGACTGGGTGCTGGGGCGGGGGGCGGGGCGACGGCGAGCGGAAGTGGCTTGTCCCCGCCGCCCCGCTGAGCGGCTCCGCCCCTTCCAGAGTGAGAAGCTGCTGCTCTACGACACCCTGCAGGGGGAGCTGCAGGAGCGGATCCAGAGGCTGGAGGAGGACCGCCAGAGCCTGGACATCAGCTCTGGTGAGGCTGCCCTAGGTGCCGCTCTCCCCGTGCGCACCCCGTCTGCTGCTCTGCCTGCCCGGGGAGCATGTCGGGGAGCCCGCTTCATGGGGTCACTGTGGGGCCCACAGGGAGCCAGGCACAGAAAGGACCCAGCCCAGGACCTGGCGCGCAGTGGAGGCTCGGCAAGAATGGGTCCCCCTGCCCTCCTCGGCCCCCGCTCTCTTTCCAGAACAGGAGGTGCCATTCTGACACCCCCACACCTACAACAGCCACAGCCCCCTGTGTCCACAGCGCCTGTGTTCGTAGGGGGTCCTAGGGAGGCCCACTGGCCACTAAACAGATGAAGAAACCGGGCTGACAAAAGTACAGGGACCCCTCCCCCAGGCTCGCACAACCATGCCATCCGGCCCTGACCTCAGCTTCCATGCCCCCGGCCCCCGGGGTGCTCTCCACCGCCCTGGGAGGGAGAGGAGGCGGAAGGGCTGGCCCGGCTCCTGTGAGGGACACAGCTGCAAGGGCGGGGTGTCCTGGGAGGGTCAGCACCTTGATCCTGACTCTGGCTCTGGGGGCACAGAGTGGTGGGATGACAAACTGCACGCCAGAAGCAGCGCAAAGACCTGGGACTCCCTGCCAGCCAGCAAGAGGAAGAAGGCTCCTCTCGTTTCTGGTATCCTTCCACCCAGGGCAGCCTGAACCGGGCAGGACATCAGGGTTAAGGGAGGCAGGGGTGGAGAGGGACATGGAAGGCAGAGTCACACTAGACACATTAGGCAAATCCAACTGTCGGGAATTTTCTGTGACGCCCTGGGTCTCTGCTGGGCCGTGTGGATCATAGAGAAATAGAAGTGTCCACTCAGTGACTCCCCCTAACTTGCTGAGCGAAGTCTTCTTCGAGGCTCTTCTGACTTTCCCACAACATCCCCGACAGGTCCTAGACTTTCCTACCACCACCCCCTCCTCCGCCTGCTCTCGCTTTCCACCCTCTTCTTGGAAAGCTGTGCTGCCTATCTGTGCCTGGTCAGGGCTTGTCTCACATGTTACCTCCTCGGTGAAGCCTCTCCTGGTTTCTCCCCAATGGCAGTGCCTTCTCTCTCCTCTGCACCCCTGTGGCCTAAACTGGGGCACCCACATCCCATACTGTAGTTGCTCCCTGCCCGACCTTAGGCGTGAGCCCCTTCAGCTCAGGGCCTGCTGAGCCCTCATCCCTCCTGGCAGCGCCCAGCACAGACTGGAACGGAATCCGCATGCCCTCAACCCCCACCCCCGGGTACTCTGCAGCCATCAGACTCTCAGGACACTGGCCACCTAGTGATGGCAGTCGGGTCAGGCAGGGAGGGAGGTGTCTGGGCTGCGAGGACTTGAGGGTGAATGGGAGGTGAGGGCATGGAGACATCAGGTACAGAGCCCAGGAGGACAGAGCAGATGGTCCCCGGAGGGGAGTGGGAGACCAAAGGAGGGTTGTCTCCAGGTTGGAAGAGACTGAAATCTGTGTGTAGAAGGGGCCAGATGAAGGGACAGGAAGGGGACAGGGAGTAGAGGGAGCAAGGTCCCTGAGTGGGTGGGCTGGGTTTTCACCTCCTGACCTTTACATTGGAGAGAGGGGGAGGGGGAGCCGAGGGGAGGTAGGGGTGAGACTCAGTATCCCCCACGGACTCATGGAGAGGCCACAGGCCCTGCCCCAAGAACCTGGGAGCCAAGAGGGAGGAGACAGAACCTGAGCTCTAACCTGGGTCCTCAGCCCCCTCCCCGCTGTGACACCTGTCCCCTCCACTGGGCTTCCTGCTTCCTTGACCCCCATTGCAGGTCCTTATATCGTGTACATGCTGCAGGAGATCGACATCCTGGAGGACTGGACGGCTATCAAAAAGGTGGGGCCAGGGCCCCTGCTTCCCTCGTGCAGGTCCCCATCCCTGACACCAGCTTTGGTCTCTGTGGGCTCACCACGCCTGGGCTTCCTGAGGGCCTGGGAGCTCTGCTCAGCCCTCAGCACCTCCTGCCTTTAGCCCAGGTTCCCTGGCATTGCCCTTTTTTTAGACAGGAAGAGAATGTGTTTGAGTGTGCGAGTGGTGCGGGGGGCGGGGTGCAGAGGGAGAGAGAGAATCCCAAGTAGGGGTCACTCCTAGCACAGAGCCTAATGTGGGGCTCGATCTCATGACCCTGAGATCTTGACCTGAGCAGAAATCAAGAGTCAGATGCTTAACCTACTGAGCCACCCAGGCGCTGGCCTGAGGCTTCCCTGCAGGAGGGTCCTTTTAATCTGTGTCAGCCCCTTCCTCCTTCCAGGGCAGGTTTTGATGGGATGGGAGGGAGGGAAGGCAGCTGTTCTGGGCTGGGCTGGCCTGGTGTCTGTCAGGGGACCACATCAGAGCTTTGCCTAGAAAGGGTCTTATGCCCCCCCCATCTCCATGCTGCACTGACCCAACAGCGCCCCCACCCCAGAGAAACTGATGTGGAGGAGGGTACTTGCCAAGCTGGAGGCAGGCTCTCAAGGGGGGCTTTTCTTCTTACCCACCCAGGCCAGGGCAGCTGTGTCCCCTCAGAAGAGAAAAGCAGATGGTAAGAACCACGGGAGTTGTTCTGCCTCCTGCCACCCCCTCCCCCAGCCCAGCGTCCTGGAAAAGAGCCCAGAAAGAGGCAGTGGTTATGTCAGATCAGTGGCCCCAGTTAGAATGGTTTGGGGAGTGGGAGCCGCCGGGGTGGGGTAGGGAAGCTCTAGGTCGATGGGGCTGGGGGATGAAGCTCCCTGCACCCGGGACTGGTCAGGGAGGGCTGGAATGCTGGGCCCGCGGAGAGCTGCCCTGGGCCAGCCTGAGGCTGTTCCTCTCAGCCCCCCATAGGCAGTGGTGTTCCCCTCTGGGTTCAGCTTTTCACCTGCAGTGCATTTTCCTTAGGACCATGACCATGCTGTTCAGAGCCAAGGGGCCCCTCGGGGCAGCTGTCAGCAAAGCCAGGATTCGCATTTTCCTGCTGTGGGAAGGCAGACTGACAAGCCCCTCGGGGTCTGTCCAGCCAGCTCCCCGGTGCTGCTGCTGGACCTTCCCCTCCAGCCGTCGCTGGTCCGGACCCCTCTGCCCTCCTCGGGGGCCTGCACAGCTGTGGCCCAGAGCTGCCCTAGCCAGGCAAGACTGTCTCCTCCATCCCCAGTGAGCGCACCACCTCCCCCTCCCAAAGGGCAGCCTCCTTGGTGCCCTCCTAGACAAAGAAGATGTGGCTCATCTTAAGCCAAAGCAACATCCTTCCTGCTGTCCTTGGACCAGTTGCTGAGCCAGTGAGCTGGGCCCCACTCTGTGGGAACTCTGAGCCAGACATTATATTTTGGGGGCCTGTCTCTCCTGGCTGTTGTTGGAGGTGAGAAGGCAGGCTCCCCGGGTCTTCTCAAGGAGGTTCTTGGTGTCTCCCAGATTGCAGGGACTGGAATTAAAATCTCTCCTGGGACTCTGGCGTGACTTGTGTGTGTCTGATTTACCTTGCAAGAGAATCAGGGCTCCCCAGGGGAGTGCCTGAGTCAGGCGGGCTCTCCTGGAGTCCCTGGTACCTCCCCTCACTACCGGGCAGGAGCCAACCTACTCTGAGTTGGGGTATCGGGAGGGGCAGGGGGGACTTGCCCACCACACCTCCCAGAGGTGGGGGAGTGAGCCCTGGCTGACCAAGGGCTCCTGAGCCAAGTCTGAAGCAACACGTGGCACAGGCAGACCATGTGTCCTGGGGTGGGGCAGGCAGCTATGTGCTCTGGGCTGGGAGACTGGGTCACGTCTGCACCTGCCCCAGTCCCTTGGCGGATTGGTAAGGCAGGCTGGCAGGGCCTGTGTGCGTAGGAGGCAGCTGGCGGCACCCTGTGTGCTGACGACCTCACAACCAACCCCCCCCCCGTTCAGCGCCGCGTGTTAGAACCACCCCCAGAACCTCAGTTAAGCAAAGGGGTTAGTTTCCATGGAGACACAGCATCCTTTCTCCATGGCAACCTGAAATCCCAAAAGCCAAGTTAGGCTCAGGACTGAGTCATCTGTGACCGGTAGGGGGTGCTCTCCCACCGGGCTGACCCCAGGGCCACGCACAGAGGAGCCAATGACCGCAGACTTAAAGGTGCCCCGAGGGCCAAACTGGGGCCTGTGGGGACCCAGACGGGCCCTGCTTAACCCCTTCCTGCCTGCTTGTGTGGTTTGAGGAGGCCGGTAAGGCTCCGTGATGCACCATGTGGAGGTGGCAGCGCTACAGCTGGGGCTCTAGGAGGGGCGCTTGCACGCACAGGACCCCTGCCCCCTGACGCCGGGCCCAGAACAGAGAGGACGCGGGCTCGGCCCGGGCTGAGTGGACACACAAGAGTTAACTGGTGGGGCGTGACAGGGCGAACCGCCCTCAGGAAGTGTTACTCACCGCCGGGAATGCGAGCGCTCTTGCCTCGGGGGCTGGATTCCCTTCCTGAGTCCTGGGAGAAACCGGGAGAAACCAAGGGAGCTCCCAGCCATGGAAACCCCTGGGGAGCCGGGAGCTGGACCTCTCGGAGCCCCCAGCCTGTCCAACTTCGCACCTGGGCGCCCGGAGAGAGAAAAGTTAGTGAAGTTGGAAGGGCAGCCTGGTGGGGCGGGGAGGGGTGGCAGAGCAGGGTCCGTCCCAGGGCAGAGGAGGGGGAGAGGGTGAAGCAAGGGTCCCACCCCCTGATGCCCTGCTCAAGTCTGCCGCCCGCCCGCAGGCCAGCCGAGGACCCGCCGTACGACGTGCCAGGGGCCAGTGGGCGGCAGGCGGGCGGGCCCCAGCGGCCTGGGCGCACCGTGAGCCTGCGGGAGCGCTTGCTGCTCACGCGGCCCGTGTGGCTGCAGCTGCGGGCCAACGCGGCGGCCGCACTGCATGTGCTGAGGACCGAGCCCCCGGGGGTGAGTCGTGCCCCTGACCCCAGCACTGGCCGGCGGGGGGCGGTGGGGGGAGAGAGGGAGAGGCCGGACACGGAGGTGCCGAGCCTGCGACCCCTGTCCCTTGCAGACGTTCCTGGTGCGGAAATCTAACACTCGCGGGTGCCAAGCCCTGTGCGTGCGGCTGCCCGAGGCCGGTGGCTCCTCCTTTGTCTCTAGCCACTACATCCAGGAGAGCCCTGGGGGTGAGCGGGACTGGCCTGGGGGGGGGGGAAGGGGCTGGAAGCCGTCAGGGCCGGGCGCAGGGGTGTTTCCCAGAGAACAACCGCACTTCCCATCTCTCAGGCGTCTCCTTGGAGGGCTCAGAGCTCATGTTCCCAGACCTGGTCCAGCTCATCTGCGCCTACTGCCATACCCGGTGAGCCTGGCCACAGGGTGGCTGGTGTCCGTTGGTCCCAGCTCCCTGGGACAGTCTGTCCTCCCAACCCCTGCAGGTCCTGTCAGCCCCCAGAGCCCTGAGCATCCCTCACACCCCTGGCTTTCTGTTTCCCTCTCTGGCCTCAGGGACATCCTTCTCCTCCCACTCCAGCTCCCCAGAGCCATCTGCCAGGCAGCCACCCACAAGGAACTCGAAGCCATCTCCCATCTGGGCATTGGTAAGGGCTCTTCTGCTACCCATTGCACAGATGGACAAGCTGAGGCCAAGAAGAAAAGGGAAGGCATACGGGCACATGGCACCCTCCCCAAACCTCCCTGAGGCCCCAATTGGTTTCCCTAGAGTTCTGGAGCTCCTCCCTCAACACCAAGGCTCAGCCGGGCCCATCTGAAGGCCAGCTGCTGCCCCGGCTGAAGCCCCGGTCCCCGCAAGAGCTGGACCAGGGCACAGGAGCCGCCCTGTGCTTCTTCAATCCCCTGTTCCCAGGGGACCTGGGCCCCACCAAGCGGGAGAAATTCAAGAGGAGCTTCAAAGTGCGTGTGTCCACGGAGACTTCCAGTCCTCTGTCACCACCTGCCGTGCCACCTCCCCCAGTCCCCGTGCTGCCAGGTGCAGCCCCCAACCAGACAGAAAGCTTACCCCCTCGCCAGCTTCTGCGAAGGGAGAGCTCAGTGGGGTACCGTGTGCCAGGGGGCGCCAGGCCCAGCCTCCCCCCGCTGCCCTCCCTCCAGGAGGTAGACTGCGGCTCCCCCAGCAGCTCGGAAGAGGAGGGGGTGCCGGGTTCCCGGGGAAGCCCAGCAACCTCGCCCTGCCTGGGCCGCCGGCGGCCCCTGCTTCGGTCCATGAGCGCTGCCTTCTGCTCCCTGCTGGCGCCCGAGCGGAAGGTGGGCCGAGCAGCCTCGGCGCTGACGCAGGACCGACACACGGCTGTGGGCCAGCTGGTGCAGGACCTACTGACCCAGGTGCGGGCTGGCCCTGAGCCCCGGGAGCTGCAGGGGGTCCGAGAGGCGCTGAGCCGGGCCCGGGCCATGCTGAGCGCAGAGCTGGGCCCTGAGAAGCTGCTGCCGCCCGAGAGACTGGGTGAGACCCCGGGGCCAGGCTCCACAGGCTCAGCTCACCTCTCCCCTCCCCCGTTAACTCCAGCTCTTCCCATGCCCCGCCTCTCTCCCGCTCTTCTCCCGTCTCACCGAGATTCCTCCTCCTCTTTGTCCCTCTCTCTCCCTGACTACAGCCCCGTCCCGTCCCGGGGGCCCCTACTCACGCCCCTGACCCTGCCCGCCTCTCCTCCGCAGAACACATCTTGGAGAAGTCGCTGCATCGCTCCGTGCTCAAGCCTCTCCGGCCTATCCTGGCGGCCCGCCTGCGGCGCCGGCTTTCCGCCAATGGCTCCCTGGGCCGCCTGGCTGAAGGCCTCCGCCTGGCCCGGACCCAGGGCCCTGGAGCCTTCGGGTCCCACGTGAGCCTGCCCTCCCCCGTGGAGCTGGAGCAGGTGCGCCAGAAGCTGCTGCAGCTGCTCCGGGCCTACTCTCCCAGCGCCCAGGTCAAGCGGCTCCTGCAGGCTTGCAAGCTGCTCTACACAGCCCTGAGGACCCACGCGGGTACGCCCCCTCCTGCCCCCCTGCCCAGTCAGAGGCAGGCCCCCCAGAGATTCCAGAATGGCACAGCAGGAGCGGGGCATGGGTCCAACACTCCCATCTCAGAGATGGTGCAACCGAGGCCCAGAGACTAGAGCATCCTCTCCCCAGCCCCTGTCTGTGGTTGCCATAGAGACCACATCACCCCAGGCCCAGCAGGTGGAAGGGAGGGTCACTGAGACACGGAGTGGACACCCGACCCTGGGGCCCCAGAGGAGTCTGAAGCTTCCTCCTCTACCACCCCCCAGGGGAGGGCGCAGGGGCGGACGAGTTCCTCCCGCTGCTCAGCCTTGTCCTGGCCCAGTGCGACCTTCCCGAGCTGCTGCTGGAGGCCGAGTACATGTCGGAGCTGCTGGAGCCCAGCCTGCTCACGGGAGAGGGTGAGGGAGCGCCTCCACGTGCCACCTCCCTGTCTGTGTGGGACTGGGTGCTTAGGGGCTGCATGGCCCCCAGGAAGTGGTGGGGGGGGTGGCCAAGTGTCCCCTACCCCCAGCCTGAGCTGCATTCTTCCCCTTGTGTCCCAGGCGGTTACTACCTGACCAGCCTCTCGGCCAGCCTGGCCCTGCTGAGTGGCCTGGACCAGGCCCACACCCTCCCCCTGAGCCCCTCACAGGAACTACAGCGCTCCCTCAGCCTCTGGGAGCAGCGCCGCCTGCCCGCCACCCACAGCTCCCAGGTAACAGGGCCTCCACGCCAGCCACCCTGAACCACCCGGCCCCTGGGGCGTGGTGGGGGTGGCGGGGTTCTGGCACCATCCTGCACAGTCCCCTCCTTTTCCTAGTGAGACCTAGCAGGGGAGAGGCTACTCCTACATCACCCTGTCACAGAAGCAGCATCCTGTGTGGACGTCCAGGCCTAGCTTTTCTCGAGAGGGATCCATGTGCTCTAGGGGCTCAGCCCTGCAGCTTGATAGAAACTCAAATTAGGACCGTTATTACCCCATTTTACAGATGAGGAAACGGAGACATGACATGGAGGGGGAAAGGGACACGGGTGGCAAGCTCAAGCCCCAAATCCTGGCTTCTGGCCCCCAACTGGGGCTCTGCCCTCCCCTGGAGTGAGGCTCCCAGCCTGTGCTCCCCTCACCCTCCTCTCCATCCAGTCAAGGGACCCTTCCTAGCCTTGGTTAAGAGTTTAGACCCTGTAGCCAGATGCCGGCTTTAAATCCTGGCTCTGCTACTTTCTATTTCCAGGAGCTTGGGCAAGTCACGTAACCTCTTTGTGCCTCGATACCCTCATCTATAAAATGAGGCAACAGGACTTATCTCCTGGGGTCGATGTGTGGATGAAATGAGTGAATGCAGGACAAGTGCTTAGGGCACGGGGGAAGGTTCCGAGTAGGGTTGTCAGGCTCCGGAGAGCTGCTGGGGCCACCCTTCCTGCCAGCCTGCAGCTCTGACTCACTAGCCAAGGCAGATCTCACCTTTCCTCAGAGCCCCGCTTGCCGCATCCCTTGTCCAAAAAGCTTTTGTCTCTTGGCTGTACCCCTGGATTTATACCACCGCACCCTGTCCCTACAAAGCCTACCCTGGGACCTCAAGCTTTGCAGCCAGATATAGACCAGGCAGGACTGAGCTCTTGCTTTGCTTCTCCTCCTACACAGCACCTCCTCCGAGTAGCCTACCAGGACCCCAGCAGTGGCTGCACCTCCAAGACCCTGGCTGTGCCCCCAGGGGCCTCGATTGCCACCCTGAACCAGCTCTGTGCCACCAAATTCCGAGTGACCCAGCCTGACACATTTGGCCTCTTCCTGTACAAGGAGCAGGGCTACCACCGCCTGCCCCCTGGAGCCCTGGCCCACAGGCTCCCCGCAACTGGCTACCTTGTCTATCGCAGGGCGGAGCGGCCTGAGACCCAGGGGGCCTCACCTGGGACCTCACCAGAGGACAGCAGCGGGGAGCTAGAGGCAGGAGGCAGGGAGGAGGAGAAGGGGGGTGGGGGAGATGGGGACATCCAGGTCAAAGCCTGTCCTGGGGACAGCAGGGGAGAGTCTGAGACCGTTGCGGAGAGGGCCAGGGGGGCCCCGGCTCAGCCAGGGGGGCCAGAGGCTGAGGGAAGCCGGGCAGCAGAGGAGTAGCAGGAAGTGGTCAGAAGGGTCATTTGGGACAGAAAACTCTGAGCCTGCGGGGAAGGCCTTTCAGAGCCGTCAGCCCCACCCCTTGCAGGCTTCCCCACCCCAGGCCGCTCCTGTGTCTGCCACCACCTCCATCTGACACTTAGCTCTGTGATCACACCTGCAGGGGTCGTGCGTGCCTGGCCTGGCTGCATCTGGAACGCTGGAATCAAGTTGAGGGGCTTTGAGGGACCCCAAACCATGGGCTCAGGCCCTTTGCCTCTCTCCCTTCCCTCCCCGCTAGAGGCCAGCCAGCCTTCAGTGCTGAGTGTGCCCAGCAGGGGACAACCCCAACAGGAGCCCAGCCTCTGGCAGCCCCTCCTGGCTGGGGGCTTCAAGGCTCTGAAAGGCTTCACCTGCTCCTGGGTGTTGGGAGGATTCAGGGAGCCAACAACGACTCAGAGCCCAGGCCAGCCGTAGCCCAGCTGGAGGACTGGCAGCTCCAGACTTAAGTGTCCTGGAAAGAGAGGGTGCAGTTGCCGCCCTGCCTTCTCCCACGAGTCCCCCAATTTCTCTGCACTGAAGCCTTCTGGACCTCACAAGAGCTTCTCTGGAGGCTGGGCATGGCTTACTACACACTGAGGTTTGGGAAGGAGACTCCTAAGATACCGATCGCACAGCCGGCCATTGCAGGTTCCCCGCCCAAACCAGGTGTCAGACTCCAACTAAGCGCCCTTTATTCTAAACCACCGAAAAATTAACCCTATGGGCCCTTCAGCCCCAAGGCAGGGCCTAGAGCGGGGATCCAACGGAGCGAAGAAAATGCCAACAATTACCACAAGGGGGTGCGCGTGGCCCAGGAAGTGGCCAGTGGGTAATTCCGAGGGGCGAGGGCATCTCCAGGGCTGCAGCGCGGCAGGTGGTCAGAGGCCCCGTGCTCTTGCAGCCACCGGGCAACCTGGGGTCAGTGCGGGGGCCAGCACCGCCGGCCCTCAGCTCCCTTGGAGTCGGGGACCTGGGTGAAGCAAACTCCAGGGGTATCACTCCCTGGGAAGGAACTGTCCCCTGATGGAAGGAGGACCCCAGCCAGTCTCTGGGGCACTCCCTCAGGTGCTGAGCACAAAGGGACATCGGCCCACATGTGAGACAGACATGACAACTGGAAGGTAGAAATCCTGGACATTGGGATTTCTGGCAGTCCAGAGACAGATACCACCAAATTTGGGGGCAGGGCTCCCAAATGTTTCTCTAGGACCACCAGCAGCTCTTACCTCCCCACTTCCACCCCCAACTCTAAGCTTCTTGCTGGTAGGGAGTCTCCCCTTTTGTATGTCTTTCCTCCCTATCCGCCCACCCCCACCCCCCGTGCCTGCATAGGCACTCAATAAATGCTGTCCCCTGATTGGAGTTTGATAAATAAGAGTGAAGGGCAGTGAGGTGGGGAGCTGGGAGGTTAAGTGGGGGCCTGGGTTCTGGGAACCAAACACAGGATGTCTCAAGTTCAGTTCCAGAGGAAAACCTAGAACGGTTGCCAGGGGTGCTCAGAGAACCCCAGATATGGAGCTGGTCTCATGGGAACTGGGACAGGCAGAGGCTTCTGAGCCCCTTCCTTGGGGGCCTCTGCAAGCCCCTCCTAATCCCTTACTGTGCTCAGTCCCAGTTCCAGGCTCTGGGAATTTAGCACCCCCCAGCAGTGGCTTCTCAGAGCACTGCTGGGCCCTGCCTGCTACTGAGCCTTTTGGTTTTTCTTCTCAAGACATTGTGCTTGGTCAGGGGCCGAGGCCAGGTAACTCAGCATGATCGAGGGTCACCATCTGGGGGTGGGGACTCTGAGCAGGGCAGGCAATGAGAGGCCCATCTAGGTCTGATCTCACCCCCATTTTACAGATGAGCAAACAGGCTTGCTCAGGGAAAGCGGCTTAGTACAGGGCAAAGAGCTGGGACACCGGGTTCTGTGGAGCTTCGGGATTCTGCCATCCTCCAAAACAGAAGCGCTCATTTACTCATCCTCTCGGGAATAATCGACTGTGTCCGAATGGACCAAGGACCAAGCACCCCCAGCCCCAGCCAGAGGGAAACAGGCGTAATCTGGCAAGAACAGCGCGACCTGTGCGAGCGTCGGGATTCAGCGCCGCCCGTCCCTCACGCTGCCTCCCACCTTTGGCCTTCTGGAAAAGGAAGTCACGGGAGAGGTGCCACGTGACTTCTACCTGTCCTAAGGCCCTCCCAGGGGCCAGACCCAGCAGACACCCCTCAGGCTGGCTTGCCCAGCCGCGCTGCTGCAGAGCCGGACTGGAAGGCCGGCATTTGGCTCGCAAGCAGCAGCGAGGTCCCTTCCTCGCTTGGAAATGTTGCTCTTATCACCCCCAGAGGCGCCACCGCTCCCTGTGTGAGTTTATGGTCTGTCTTCCCCACTGGGCCTGAGCCAAGTCAGCCTTGTTCACCTCTAAATCTCGGGGGCCTAGAACAATGCGTGGCCCAGAACTGGCACTTAGGAGATGGAGGTGGAATGACTGATTGGGGAAGACGCAGCCTAAACGGTTCCTCCGAGTTCCTGGGGCTGGGGCGGCGCATTCTCCCTCGCTGCCGCCAGGGGGCGAGCATGCCCGTTCCCAGGCACATGCCAGGCCCCCTTCTTGAGGGAGGCCACCGGGCACTCGGAGGGCCTGCACCCGGCCTGGTGCCAGGGTGGGGAAGCATCCCCGCAGTGGGGCCCTGGGCTCGTTCTGTGAACGGGAGTCCTGCCAACAGAGGTTGGGAAGGGGAGCCGGGAGCCAGGGCCTGTGGAGTGGCCCGGGGAGAGGGGCAGTCATTGAGACCCACACCACCACCCTCACTCACCGTCAACGCAGAGCATTTAACACCGTGCCATGGTCTCATGACCCATGTTCGCCCCCCTCCAGTTTAACACACAGAAACATCTGGACTCCTGTTTGCACACAGAATTTGTGACATCCTGTAGGCTACGGTCATGGGCACCCCCAGCCTTAACAGGAACACTCAGAGTGTTGGGAACACCTGGAGACTGTTGGCCACTCATGCCCTGCGGGATGGGACACGGTGACACACACGGACCCCTCCTCTGAGCCACACCCTGACATTCATCCCCAGATCTGCAAGCTCACAGACGGTCCCTCAACACCCTCCCTGCCTCTCGGGTTCAGAGTGTGACTCGGTGACACACATCCATGGGGACAGGCTGACACACAGACGTGGTGAGTGCTACACAGGGATTCGGCGACATACAGCTACCCGGGTAGCACCGCCAAGCCCCCCACTCAGACACGGTACGTGGGCTTGCTTCTCAGGCTGCACAGGCATAGGAAGTATACACACGCGCACACGCGCGCACACGCACACACGCACACACATGCGCACGCACACGTGCACACGCACACGCGCACACACATGCACGCGCGCACACACATGTGCACACGCACACATGCGCACACGCGCACATACTTTCATACTTCTGATCATGCAGAAGAGGTCCAAGCCCTGATCCCGACTAATCGCACTCCAGCCCCGGCCTATCCCAGCCACACTCAGCCATTCCAGTCCGTGGTGGACGCTGGTGGGGGCTGGAAGTTGCTGAGAAGACCCCCATGGGGGTTGTGGCAACCCCAGTGGCCAGGAAGGAGGCAGAGGCCGGCAGTACTGGGCGGGGAGGCCTGAGCTCATCAGATTCCAGCCTGAGTGATTCACGGGAAGCGCCTGGGGAGGATCTGGGAGGGTGGGGGTAATGACCCAGGGGCTGGGGCTTTGGGGGCCTGGGTGGGCTTCCGACTAGAAAGGATCTTGGGTCCGGAGCAAGCCTCTAGTCTGGGAGGGGGCTTCCTGAAGGGTGGCCCAGCCTGAGGGGTGTCTGCTGGGTCTGGCCACTGGGAGGGCCTTAGGACAGGAGCTGAGCCCACAGGATGAGACAATCGGCCCCTCCCGCCCTCCCCACCCGGGGCCTGGGCCCCTGACCCCACGCCTTCCCAGCCCCAACAGCTGGGTGTCTTTAGCAGGGGTTAGGCCAAGGGTGGGGGGCAGGGGTGGGGTGACCTTCACGGCCATCTTGGCCCCTTGGGCCCTCAGGCCGGCAGCCGGAGTGGACCCCAGAGACCCTGAAGGACTGGACCCGGCTGGCCCAGTCAGGGCTCACAGGGTTACAGACCCTCGCTGCCCTGCCAGGCCAGGCCTCTGCCAGAGAGCCGAGAACACACGGCTGTCCCAGCGCCAGGGATGTTTTCCTGCTGAGATGGAGCGCTCTGCTCCTGCCACCTCCTGAGCCCCCTGCCTCCCTGGCTGGGCTGATGCTCAGAGGACCCGGCAGCTCCTTCAGGGTGACAGGAAGAAAGGATGGGGCTGGAGGCAGGACAGGGGTTGTAGGAAGTGCCTTTCTTGGAACTCTGCACCAAAATAGCCTGTTCTGTCCCCACTCTAGGTCTCAGTGTCCCACGGGGGAGATAAGTGTCACCAAGGAGACCCTCACCAGGGAGGGGCCTGAGCTGACCTTAATTGGGCTTTGGCTCACCACCCCCTTCCCCTCTCCTACCTCCACTGGCCCCCACCAAGCCTGCCTCAGGCTCCGCTCCACTTTGAAGTCCTAACATAAATATCATGTCTGCTTGGGTTCCCCTTCCTGGCCTGGTCACAGCCCCCAGACCTGGCTCCCACCCCAGCCAGCCCTGGGGGTGCGTGCCGGGGGAGAGGAGGGAGGCCTGGACCACCCAGGGAAGGGGGCGAGCCAGAGACGCTGGAACAGGAATGGGGAGACAGGGGTAGACACCAGAGGTGGACAGGGAAGATATGGAAGTGGGCAGAGAACAGAGAGACAGACCTGAAAAACCAACAAGTGACAATCCTGGGGACAGGGGAGGAGACACAGAGACCCCAGAGAGTGACAGGAGCGCTGGAGACGCCTGACTGCAGAGAGGGAAGAGAGAGGACGAGAAACAGTGCGAGGGACAGTGAGACCCCAGAGATCCCTGGGGCAGCGAGAGGGCAGGAAAAGAAGGGAAAGTTCCAGGGTGCAGGTGGAGACGGGGATGCTGACACTGGGGTAGCAGAGGGAAGGACACGGGCTAACGGGTTCCCAGCATACAGGATTTGCAGTGCTGAGACCAGGAGAGTCCCCAGCAAACTGGGACAAGTTGGTCACCCTCGGTAGCAGGCTTCTGCCAGATGCCTCAGGGACCACAGAGTCCCCACCCTCACAGCCAAAGAGCAGCAGAGGAAGGACAGGAACAGCAAAGGTCCCAGCTGTCCCCTCCTGGGATCCCCAGACTCAGGTAGTCCCTGCTCTGCCTCCACTCTGTGACCCGGGGCAAAGCCTTGTCCCTCTCTGAGCTGGGAGGACACTGAGCAGAGCGGTGGGGCTGGGCCCTTCTAGCTCTGCGGTGGGCTCCAGGACGGCCATCCTTGTGGGCAGATGTGGCCAGATGTTCAGGCCAGGCATTTGCCAGGAGAGGGACTAGGGCCCCAGCTGTGCCCAGGTTGGGCGATCCAGGGGAGCCCTGTGCTTCTCCCCTCACCTCTGTGGGCGCAGGTGTGGGCCTGTGGGGATGCACACACATCACCCAGCTGCATGGACCCTCAGCAATGCCAGCCCCAGGCAAGCACGCACACTCACGTGCACACGGTCGTGTACAGACACCCAGGTACACCCATCAGCACACCCAGGCTCTCTCCATGGTGGACGCCACCCCCCAGCCCCCTCCAGCTGTCAGAATCCCTTACCCCCAGGGACCAGGCCTGGACGCACCCCTTCTTCCCGGGCCCCACCTCCCCCCAAGCCTCTCCCTCCCACCCCGTCCAGTCCCCAGCACCGCCCCCTTCCCCGCGGTCTCTCCCATCCAGAAGCACACAGGGTGTGGCACCAGCACGTGGGGAGGGGAAGGAGGCCAAAATTGCTGCCCTCCCCCCAGACTGCCCTCCCTCCCCACTTCTGCCCTGGGACCTCGCCCACCTCCCCTCCTGCAGCTCCCACCCAAGACCAGGCGCCTCCTGCCCACCAGTTGGCCCTTCCTCCTGACAGCCTGAAGGCTGGGGTGGTTTGGGAAGAATTTAGAAATGGAGGGAGATGGGGGGATGGGGACAAAAGAAAAAGGAGGAAAGGAGGTGATTTGTACACAAAGCAATGTGCTGGCTCAGCAGCAGGCTGTGGCAAGGCTCTAGGACGCCTGCCCAGGGGGCGCCCCCCAATCATCCTCAACCCCCCCATCCTGGCTGTTACACTGGGCTCTCTTCAGGCCAACCCCTCTGCAGGCCGCCTGCACCCCCACCCCCACGGGCCCACACATTGCATCCAAAACCACTGTCTGGCTTGTCCCAGTAGCTGGAAGACAAGGCTCCTTCTGGGAAAGTGGGCTTCTGTTCTCAAGCCCATCTTGAGGTGAGCTCTCACCATA